ATATTTCATAGAAGACAGTGTCTGTTATTGGTAAGAATATGAGAATCACAGCAACGATAACTGTTGGCACCCAGAGTCCTGCTGATATCTTTGCTGCTCGAGATATAGAGGCTTTTTCTTTGTGTGTCAGAGGATTTCGCACAGCAGAGAATCTCTCAGCTGCTATGGTAACCACAAATAAATTACAAACCATGAGAAACATATAACAAACGCCCCGGGCTGCAACTTGCAAGGAGTCTATTGGTTGAATAAACAGTACATATAGAAGGTTATATGTAAGGAAGAGCAAGTCAGCCACGGCCAGATTGGACAAGTAGATGTTGATGATTGTACGCATGAACTTCACTCAAATGACTGTGAAGAGAAAGACTATGTTGAGGAGGATGCCGATCGGTGCAATGATTTCAATACTTAACCATTTTATTTGAAGAAGTCCGTGTTTAATCTCGTGAAAGTTGTCACGAAGCTTGTCAATGTCACTTTCCCTACCAGTTGATGGAGTGGAGCTGTTTTGATAGTCATCACCCATAGTTCATTTACAGTGTTGTATTGATCGTCATGCCGAACATTTAATGCATTCTATTGGAAGATCACTCCTGTTTTGCCTTTAACAGAGAATGTACACTGTGCGTTTATGAGAAATGAAGTTGAAAACTAAAGCTCGTTCGTATTTGTCCGGATTTTTAATCTTTTTATTTTGGTTTTGTTTTAACAGCCGTGTTACAAAAATAATCAACACAGTTTCATAATTGACATTGGCATGATAGTTGCCATTTTTGTTTAAGTTTGTGTATACAAATGTACATCCTTTTAGTTCAGTGTCTTTCCCTCCCATACATTGCATACACATGTGCGCCTTGTTCTCCAACCCAAACTATCCCGAAACCACAAAATCCCAGCCCCTGAATAAAATTGTACTTTGATGGATTCAGAATTTCAGAACACATGTTTTTCCGTAGCTTTAGATGAACAGATAATGTGATATTAGTTTAGTCTTGTTGGGATTTTGGAGAATTGATAAAGCTTCCTTGGAGTTAAAGAGTTAAATCTTTGATTAACCCTAACCTTTCCCAAATACTTCAAAATTTTGTTTGCAAAATGGAGGATTTGCAGGATTGAGGCTTTATGGCAAGAAAAAGTGCACTTGGTTGGTATTTTTAAGGATGCACTGTATCAAGGTCTTGGGCCAGACCTTGTGTTATTTATGCTCGGCCGTACATAAATTTAGGCCTAGATTATACTTGAAATCCTCTGCACTGCTTCAGGATGTCACTGGCTCTGTCTCAACATAATGACAGTAACTGCTATAGGATTTTGCAGGATTGAGGCAGTGGTTACCCCTCCAAGGACCACATTATAGAAATAATTGATAATTTTGCAGGATTGAGGCTGCTAAGCAAGTTTTACATTGAGGCAATTGGAGTATGTTGCAGGATTGAGGTTGCATTCTTGCAAAATGCCTAGGGAATTTAATAGGTTAAATAGGTGAAGCTCTGCATCTGAGCCCTAAATATCATGCAACACCAACTGTTGGATTGTGACGGATTTCGGAGGGTAAAGTCTCAAGAAAGCATAAAATTAAAAGAGTAATGTTAAAAAACACTGGCAGTATTTTACAGCTCTACATGTCGGTGGTATAACCTGTGCAATGTATTTTTTAGGGGTGTGCACATACGATTAATACAGGAACCAGGTACCCGATTGAAAAAAAACACGGGTTCCTGGGTACCCATTAAGGAAACCCAATGCCAAACATGCCAAAATTCAAATCTCGGAAGTTGCTGTTGAGATTGTTAACTACAACCGCATCGGCACATCAGTACAGCAAGATACAAGTACAGTGAACTTTATAGTTTTACGGTTTTGTAAATTGCAGCTTAGTAATTACTGTAATTAAGTAATTTGAAAGTTGGTTATGGGTACCCGATACCATAAGGCCAAAAAAAATACTTCTGCTCCCGGTTACCCGATCCACCCTATTTTTAGTCTGCGACCCTAAACATTTTATCGGCAGTTCCAAAAAAAAAGAATTATTGAATAAATAAAAATAAAATCTTGTTGTTTTTTCTGTCTTCTCAAAATACCTCTCAACAACCCTTTTGCGTCAAAAAATGCTTGTATTTAGTTTTCTTAATTATGTTCGCTATTTTTTTTAAAAGGAACCGTTATTTTAAAAAATTTGCTTCGCAATTCGATGTCACGGTGACTATAATCACGTGCGTAAACCTAGCTCAATGCAGCAACAACTGGTTCCCCGCCACGCCACGCAGGGACCAATTTACAAGACATGATGAAAATGCTGTAACAAGTCTGTGCATGGCTATGCAATCGATAGCGCTAGCATGGCTATGCATTGCAGGCCTGTGCACTGTCAACTGGTTGGATTCGACATCGTAAAAATGCCAAGAAAACACCGATGGAAAAAGCACAAATTTTTGCAAGTTAATTCACAGAATTGATCTAGCTTATTTTCTGTGTTCAAGAGTTCATTTGGAGATCGCACTACTTTTACCCGTATTTGGAGTGATACAATGCAGCGTGTTTCCCTAAATTTTCGAACGTAAAAACGAGGTCTATTGGCCGCGGGCCACACATGCACAGTGCATCACACTTTGGAGTTTTGGCCAGCTTCCCGTCTTGACTAGCCTCTTGCATATGATGCGAACGACCTGAATTTTCCATTATTTTTTTGAGAATTATTGAAGGTAAATATATTGACAATAATTAATGTAGGTTTTTTCACTTTTTGTGGCCATTTTGTGTATAGCTTTTTAATTCATAGTTCAATGGAAATAGTTCAGGCTAAAACTAAGCATATAATTGAACACCTCATTCAATCTGCATTAAAAAAAAATTGGCCAAAAAAAAAAATATTCCAACCAACCGACCCTTTTTTTGAAAGGCATGTTATCGGAAGCAGAAGTATTTTTTCAGCCTAATCAAGAACCGGTTCCTGACATCGACGGTCGGGTACTCGGGTACCCGGTTCCAATGCACAGCCCTAGTAGTCCTATATTTTGCATTTTTTTTGTTTCCTGATTCAGCTTATCCTGTCAAGAGTAGTAAATGGGTTCTGTAATAAGAAAAAAATACAAATTTGGAAATTTTGAAATACATGAATATACATGTACAGGGTGAGGCAAAAAGAAAGTGACCAAATTTTAAAAATATTCGCTATCAATAGTTCAGCTTATCCTGTCAAGAGTAGTAAATGGGTTCTGTAATAAGAAAAAAATACAAATTTGGAAATTTTGAAATACATGAATATACATGTACAGGGTGAGGCAAAAAGAAAGTGACCAAATTTTAAAAATATTAGCTATCAATAGTTCTGGAAAAAAAAGAGTGGACTTGTTCTTCTTTTTCACAACACAAAATCTAATCGTATCAATAATGCTTCAGTCTTTATTTCAATTATTAAAATCTCATTTGTTTTTGAATGCTTGTGTGTCATCTGTAATTCTCACTAAAGCTCAATAGCTACATGTACCGATACCAGTGGTCCTGATTCCATGGACAGCTAAAAATAGGTTCTTTTGAGTAAAACATGCATTTAACTTCAGATGGCATGGATCAATTTCAGTAACTTTTTTTACGTTGAGTTAATGAACATGCTCGTGTAAGACATACATTTGTGTATCAAATTTGATTGCTTTCTAAGGAAACAAATTTGAATCTAGGTCACTTTCTTATTTTACTCGCCCTGTACAACACTATTGAATTCATATCACCCAACCCAAAATGTCATCTTATAAATAGTTGGGTTGCAGTACCTGCTGCTAGGTCAGATTCAAACCAGCCAGCAAAACCCCGGCAGGCTGTGTGGTCGAGTGGTAAGCTGTGTGCACTACATGTAGTAAGCAGGTGGTCCTGGGTTCGAGTCTCAACCGAGTATAGAATGTGCATTTTTCTTTCACAAGCACTGGGACAATACTCGGGAGTACACAGTGTCTATAGTACGTCCGTGACGGGCAAAAACCCAACACTGAAACTATTGCAAATTGGTGACTAAATAATAGTAAACATTTCATTCTCAACTTTAATGCAGTCGAGCTTGACATTGAACATTTGGAAGATAAAAGCAATGGTAGTGATAAATCACGGTTAACTGGCTCTGTCTAGGACGTTACACTTCCTTTCATAATGCTAGAATTGCCCATGTGTGTATTTCTTTTTGTTCTGACGAGTTCTGACAAAATGTTCTTCTGTTCTTGATAAAAAGGTTTTGTTTTTGAACTCCCCAGCAGAAAGGGAATCTCTTACTTTTTCTTTCATTTAATGATGATTATTGCAAAGACTGTGCCGTGGGTTTACTACCCAGAGTTCGAATTTGGAGTGTTTGGGAAACTTGCTAGCACAAATAACCAACAAGATATGGATGAATGTTTGAGACATGAAAGAAAAACTGGCGCCAGAAAATCCTAGTCAGGAGTGAGTGACATGGGAGCTTCTTAAAGAGTGAAAGTTGAGTGGGCTGATGCAATGAAACACAAATAAGAGCACAGGGAAACTTGACGCAAGTTTTAGTTTTGATGTTTGGATAATCAAGAAAGAAAATTAAAGTACAGGTATAAATAGTCACTGCATCAACATAGCATTGAAACCACACTCTCCTCCTTGAAATGGAAAGTGCACTTGGACTTTTGTTTTCAATTGATATACTTAGAAAGCATCCGTGAACTTCTTCTTGGTTTGGGGACAAATTGATCCACTTTGCAAGCAGACTGGTTCCAGGCCCATGCATTATCCGATACTGATTGTGGAGGTAACACCTTGAGTATACAGTGTTTATATGTCAGTGAAGGGCAAAACCAAATATTAATTTAGAAAAGAAATGTAATTTTGGGATGAAACTTGAAACTAGCGAAGGGAACAGAACTTTAAATCCCCCCCCCAACACAAACATTCCATCTTACAAATATTCATCTCCTTTCCTGTTACATTTGATTGCTGGCAATGGATTAACTGATGGAAATCCAATTGTTTGTTTCATCCCTCAGCTGCCAAGAAGATAAGGAGGAGGCATTGAAAGTACTCAACGGACACAAATGGAAAGGACAAGTGCTCAAAGCCAAGGTATTCACAAAGTCACTCGTGGTTTTTACTATTGGCACTTGCTTCTGTTGGCACTTTCAATGAATTTACATAACTAATCAACAGTCTTAGTATTGGCTACCAGTGCAAAGGGTCTAGTGGCTGCTATTGCTGTGGTTACAGGTTCACATTCCCGCAGTGACTCTCCGTAGCTTGCCAAGCCAGTTGAGGACCCGGACACTAAGAGCCTCGCTCTGAAGAGAAGCCAAGAGGAATCTGATGGAAATACCCAAGAAACTAAGAGGAGGAAGGAGGAGGACAGCTGACCAGTAGAAGAGAGGTGAAGACATTGAGATAGAATGCAGGGTTGGGCTGGATTTGAACCACCATCCATTAGAAAAGTACTCCGGTTCTCAACCAACCAAAATCATCACAACACTCATTTCTTCTTTCATGCAAGGGTACAAACAAATGGCTCATTTTATGGAAATTCATGAATTTTTTGGGGGATGATTTTGTCGGATATAGGAAGGTAGACCCCAGCCAATAATACCATTTATAAGGTTTGATACCCCTTGAAAGTTGAAGTGCAAAGAATGTGATTGCCTTCACTGTGGTAGATTTTTTTTGAGGAAGGGAAAGGAAATGTGTTACCTCAAGTACAGGGCGAGTCAAAAAAGTGGAACCCAAACCCCCAAAATGTATTTCATATTTAAAATATATGTAGCACCAAACATAATAATGACTGGAAAGCCAATTTCATAGGCTACTTTTAGATGAAATTTGCTCAATTCGCTTAAAGAATATCACCATTTAAACATAATGACCCTAAAACCTGTTTCGTCAAAACAAAAAAACAGTTAATATTGTATTCTGATTGCTAAGATCTACTGTTTTTTTAAAAGACGGGCCTCAAAAGGACTTTGTTAAATATTTTTAACTTTTAAGCTGAGGTTTTATTGCTGGTAATGTTGGAAGACAATTGTGATGATTCCTGAAATTGCATTTTTGGACAAAAGAGGTTTTGTGGTCATTGTCTTTAAATGGTGATAGTCTTTGAATGGATTGAGCAATTTCAGTAATTTTTTTTTCATCTAAAAGTAGCTTTTGAAATAGGCTTTCCAGTCATTATTATGTTTGGTGCTACATATTTTTTTATGCCCCGCGGCGAAGCCGAAGGGGCATACTGTTTCCGCCTTGTCCTTCCGTGGGTGGGTGGGTGGGTGGGTGTGTGGGTGTGTGTGTGGGTGGGTGGGTGTGTGGGTGTGTGTGTCCGGACAAATCTTGTCAGCGCGATAACTTGAGAAATACTTAACATATGAACTTCAAATTTGGTTAGTGGATTGACCTTGGTAATCCTAAGAAGCCTTTTGCATTTGGGGCCGAAAGGTCAAGGGTCAAGGTCACAGTGGCTGAAACAATAGAAATTTTGTCAGCGCGATAACTTGAGAAATACTTAACATATGAACTTCAAATTTGGTTTGTGGATTGTCCTTGGTAATCCTTAGAAGCCTTTTGCAATTGGGGCGGAAAGGTCAAGGGTCAAGGTCACAGTGGCTGAAACAATAGAAATTTTGTCAGCGCGATAACTTGAGAAATACTTTACATATGAACTTCAAATTTGGTTTGTGGATTGTCCTTGGCAATTCTAAGAAGCCTTTTACATTACGGGCCAAAAGGTCAAGGGTCAAGGTCACAGTGACTAAAACAAAAGAAATTTTGTCAGCGCGATAACTTGAGAAATACTTTACATATGAACTTCAAATTTGGTTTGTGTATTGTTCTTGGTAATCCTAAGAAGCCTATTGCATTTGGGGCCGAAAGGTCAAGGGTCAAGGTCACAGTAGCTGAAACAATAGAAATTTTGTCAGCGCGATAACTTGAGATATACTTTACATATGAACTTCAAATTTGGTTTGTGGATTGTCCTTGGCAATCCTAAGAAGCCTTTTGCATTTGGGGCCAAAAGGTCAAGGGTCAAGGTCACAGTGGCAAAAACAAAAGAAATTTTGTCAGCGCGATAACTTGAGATATACTTTACATATGAACTTCAAATTTGGTTTGTGGATTGTCCTTGGCAATCCTAAGGAGCCTATCGCATTGGGGGTCGAAAGGTCAAGGGTCAAGGTCACAGTGGCTAAAACAATAGAAATCTTGTATTTATTCTGAGATCATAGGGATTAGGGATTAATTCATATAAAACCTACAGAAGACACTAATGCTGTCAATGAACGTTCCATTTGACCAAGGTACATGTAATTTGATGTTAGAGTGGTGTTATGTCATGGAAACAGTCACGGTTGCGGGGCATTTGTGTTTGTAAACACACCTGACTTGTTTTAATTTGAAAACTAATTTTGGGGGTTTGGGTTCTGCTTTTTTGACTCACCCTGTAGTTCATGATCAGCACAAGAAAACCATTCTTACATCGAAGATTACTATTTTATGAACCAAACTTGTCAGTTTCAAAGGCCAGTTGACATTGTGAACATGAAATTTGTTGAGTGAAACTGTTACGTGGTCAGTTTACTCTTCCTTGCTATTTGTTTTCCTTGAAGGGACAGCATCAAAGCTTGCATGTCTGTGAAGAGTAAGTTGACCACATTTCTCTTGGTGTTTCAAGTCTTAAATTTACATTGCGCATGCACCACTTAAACTACAAACTGAAGTTATGAGAATGGTTTAATGTATGAAGACAGATCATAAGTTACTCACACAATCCATTATCCTTTATGAGATATGGTGGGCATGATACAAGGCGCTATTTGGTTTAGGTCAAGATATTTGGATTTACCCCAAATTTACCCCAATCAAATGTCGCCTTCTGATTGTGTCCGCCATATCTCAAAAAGGGTAATAGCAGTTGAAGCGTTCATAATATGAAAATTCTTAAGACTCTGAAATACTGAGTGTGCTTTTCGCTCTTCTCCCAATCTGCAGGTTAAACAACACGGTGACTCCACTGTGGAACCAGCCATATGAGGACCAGCTATCCACCAAACAGACCAACACCAGAGAGTTTCTGAGGGATTTATCCAAGATGCTGCAACAGAACATTGGGGAGATGTCTCCGTGGCTGAAGCAACAAAGGTGAGCTACCCGCCAAAGACATGGGATGGTTGTGGGCCAGAACGGAAATGTAATCTCCCTTGACAAAATGTTTCCAGACATAGTTCTCTGGCCAGTGGACTTACATACTGTACAGCTGTCCTGAATATTGGTAAAGCCCCAGAAGATGTTTTACCCAATTTTCTGAAATGAGCTGTCTTCCCTACACACAAAAGTCACCAAAAAAAAACCCCAGGAAAACCCAACCCAAAGCCAATCAATTCACAGCTGCTTGAGTGGGACTCGCACCGGCAACCAATGAGAGTTGAGGTGAACCTCAAGCCCCTGCTTAGAGAGACTCTCTCATTCAGGGGCAGATTGAGACCAACTGTCCCTGGACTTACTGGCAAACTGGAAAAAAACTGCTCATTGAATCCTGTCAACATGACTTTGCAAAGAAAATAGAGTAGTTCTGAGAGAAGCAAAGAGCAACCCTAGGCACTCTAAATTGAAAGTCAAATTTCAAATCATAGCATTTCTTTTTTTGTTTTCTTTTTTGGAGATAGAGCACACCTATCCACTAATATTGGTGCTCAAGACACTACTTCATTAAGTTAAAAGTGCAAATTGCCTGGAATGGACATAAAGTGTGCACACATGTAGATGTGAATGTGATGTGCCTGTCATGAACACTGCAACAGAAAGTTACAGAAAAAAATTCTCAGTAATTCCCCTAATTTCTTGTCAGGTCTTCATGAAACTTGGCCCTGGATAAATTGTGCAATAGTTTCAGTATCATGTCTTATTATTTTCATTGACAGATAACACTGTTGGTTTCCAGCTTGGCGCTTACAAAGGTAAGTATTTCCTCTGAAGTTTCCTTTTTGCAAAAGACGTAGATCAGCGTTTATGTTTGATTGGATCGGCTGTCAAGGGGCGTGGCCTATTAGTAGCTACTGCTGATCAATTCCAACCAATCAGAATGCAACACACAAAAAGATTGACAGGTGTACATATTGTGCATTGTCTAATATGTTTGTCAGGAATTAATTATTGAAAAGAAAGAAACAAGCCACAAAGACATAAACCCTTGTCATCCCCTTTGCTGACCAATATGTTGGCTTACTTTTGTGGCATGAATATTGAGGGTATATGTTTGTACTTTCAACATTGACTAGCAAGCTCTTTTACTCAATAGGGATTTTTCAAATATTACATTTGTACAAGCAAGAATTAGATATTAAATAAAAAATAATTCAGGAAAATCGCTGTTTGTTTAAATGTTGCTAGTGTACACTTTTATTTATTTCATCACTGATCTTGCTTTTACACGCAGATTTGTTTGTCCTGTAAAAAGTATGTGACTTTTAGAAACATGGTTTGACCTGCAATTTTTTTTCTCAAATATTACTAGGTGTCAGAAAGATGCAAGAGCTCAAACACCAATTTGGTGATAGTACATTTCTGTATTATTTGTGTTAAGAGTTTTAAACGCAATGAAATTGCAGCTTTAATGAACATATAAAAAGCTGCAATTCCTCGGATACTGTGCAAATTAAGATACATCTCGTAGGATGCCAACTTTACAACGACATTCATATTTTACAGCATTGATTTTTCAATCATCCAAATTCAAAGTACCCTTGAGTCCATCTATAAGAGATATTAGAATTTTACTTTGCATTTAAACATCATACAGACATGGAGCTTATAATGTAATACAACAGACTAGTGGTGCTACACAGATTATGTACAATTATAGAGCATGTTAGTCTCACCAGTTCACATTCACTTTTCATGTGAACATCTTGGTACCAAACACTGACTAGTCTAGCCACAGACTCCCGTCTTTGAACTCACCCAATACACCCAATGAACGAGATTTGGCCAGGATTGTCTGGATTTGTTCATTTTTTAAAATATGCATGACTTGCCGTTTGGGGAGCTGTTTTCTTGAGTTTTGTTTCCAAAATATGAAATGGCGGCCGAAGGTTGAATGAAAGAAATCATATATTTTGGCCAGATAATAATGATTGATAGTAATACAAAAATGGAAATTAAAAATACAAATGTTCCAATTCTTTAAAATCATAACTTTATTCTTGCGTTTATCGTAACGGTCGCCATGACGGTTCACCATGCCATTTTGGCCAACAACTGTACAAAATACAGTTTGTGTTTAACTTGAAAGGCTCATTATGATACACAAACAATATACAATCCTTGTCAATTTGTTTGTATTCACTCATTCCGTTAATTTGCCGAAAAATCCATTTGTGATCCATCCAAACCAAAATATAAAGGAATTGAGTGACTCTGCTTGTTATATAATTTACAGTAGTGAACCGTGGTTACACTATGGTATGGTTGGATTTTTCGTCCAAATGAGGGATTAAAAACAAATTGAAGAAGGTGATACGTTGTTTGTGTATCCTAATACGGCTTTCACGTCGAACACAATCTGTATTTTGTAAAAATATCGGTCAAAATGACATGGTGCACCGTCATGGTGAATCGTGTGCATTGACCATGTTACCAGCGCGTGCATGTGTGTATTATTATTTGAGCGCATACTACGCGCAATATCCGAATCCAATATCAAGGCTATTGTACATTCAGACAATCCCGGCCAAAATGGTTGGGACACTTGGAAACAACCTTAGCCTCCAACGGTCACCAACTCCCCGGCTCCCCCGGTCAATGTTGTTCTCTCCAGCGGATGGAGCACACACCGCGCAATGAGAGACAACATTGAGCGGGGGCTGGGAGGTTGGGGGCCCAGCGAGTTTTGGCCAGGAATGTATGTTTTTGAGGTCAACTTGCACGCTCTATGACAGTAGCCATAGACATCTCACTTGCTCCAATTAGACTTTAAAATGCCTTTAAAAAATAGCAAATTCAATGTATTTTCTTCTTTAATTAAAGTTGGTCTTTTAATCTTTTCGTTTGTCTATCAGGTCTTGACCCACAAGATAACCATTCCACCAGCACCTCTGACGTACCGGTGACTGGCGCTGCCATAACAGATCCTTATCACTATCTGACGCAACAGCACTTCACCTCAGAGATTTTCAAGATTGAGATCCAAAACCTCCCAGACATTTTGGATTTGCGGTGAGTTTGCTCCCTAAACCTTCAACCCTTGATATTGATAATTAACCATATTTTTTCCCAGCTAGTAGCTGTGTAGACACCTTTGATCCACCAGACTTAAATCCCATACTGTACATCTAAAGCCCACAATATGTCTGTGCTCTGCAGACAAAAATCTATCCAATGTGTAGTTGAAACAAAAAGCTTCTGCATTTTTTCCCCTTAGTGTTTTTTATGCCCCGCGGCGAAGCCGAAGGGGCATACTGTTTCCGCCTTGTCCTTCCGTGGGTGGGTGGGTGGGTGGGTGGGTGGGTGGGTGGGTGGGTGTGTGGGTGTGTGTGTCCGGACAAATCTTGTCAGCGCGATAACTTGAGAAATACTTAACATATGAACTTCAAATTTGGTTTGTGGATTGTCCTTGGTAATCCTAAGAAGCCTTTTGCATTTGGGGCCGAAAGGTCAAGGGTCAAGGTCACAGTGGCTGAAACAATAGAAATTTTGTCAGCGCGATAACTTGAGAAATACTTAACATATGAACTTCAAATTTGGTTTGTGGATTGTCCTTGGCAATTCTAAGAAGCCTTTTACATTACGGGCCAAAAGGTCAAGGGTCAAGGTCACAGTGACTAAAACAAAAGAAATTTTGTCAGCGCGATAACTTGAGAAATACTTTACATATGAACTTCAAATTTGGTTTGTGTATTGTTCTTGGTAATCCTAAGAAGCCTATTGCATTTGGGGCCGAAAGGTCAAGGGTCAAGGTCACAGTGGCTGAAACAATAGAAATTTTGTCAGCGCGATAACTTGAGATATACTTTACATATGAACTTCAAATTTGGTTTGTGGATTGTCCTTGGCAATCCTAAGAAGCCTTTTGCATTTGGGGCCAAAAGGTCAAGGGTCAAGGTCACAGTGGCAAAAACAAAAGAAATTTTGTCAGCGCGATAACTTGAGATATACTTTACATATGAACTTCAAATTTGGTTTGTGGATTGTCCTTGGCAATCCTAAGGAGCCTATCGCATTGGGGGTCGAAAGGTCAAGGGTCAAGGTCACAGTGGCTAAAACAATAGAAATCTTGTATTTATTCTGAGATCATAGGGATTAGGGATTAATTCATATAAAACCTACAGAAGACACTAATGCTGTCAATGAACGTTCCATTTGACCAAGGTACATGTAATTTGATGTTAGAGTGGTGTTATGTCATGGAAACAGTCACGGTTGCGGGGCATTTGTGTTTGTAAACACACCTGACTTGTTTATCTCTAAGATTTGTAAGGATAAGTTCTTTGTTCCTTGTTTTGAAAGAAACTAAACCAAAGTAGACAATAGAGTTTCACAGTTGACTTTGGCATAGATGTGCTTCAGAATAAATTTTTATTTTCTCTTCAAGACTTTTTTTACGTGTAAATTGTTTAGTCTGTCATTAAGGTTTTGCTCAGATCTAGGTTACTTAAAAAAAAGTGAAATGGCACTCTGCACTTTTTACATGTAGAGTTTTACAGCTCATAAAAGATCACAGACATAACGTAGCGCTTGAATTATCTATAACTGAATAAAATTAGATGCAGATCAAAAAATGACATTTTGCAAAAGACGTAGATCAGCTTTCATGTTTGATTGGATCGGCTGTCGAGGGGCGTGGCCTATTAGTAGCTAATGCTGATCAATTCCAACCAATCAGAATGCAACACACAGAAAGATTGACAGGTGTACATATTGTGCATTGTCTATTATGTCTGTCAGGAATTAATTATTGGAAAGAAAGAAACAAGCCACAAAAGACTTAAACCCTTGTCATCCCCTTTGCTGACCAATATGTTGGCTTACTTATGTGGCATGAATATTGAGGGTATATGTTTGTATTTCCAACATTGTCCAGCAAGCTCTTTTACTCAGTAGGGATTTTTCAACAATTACATTTGTACAAGCAAGAATTAGGTTTTAAATAAAAAAAATCAGGAAAATCACTGTCTGTTTAAATGTTGCTTGTGTACACTTTTATTTATCTTATCACTGATCTTGCTTTTACACGCAAATTTGTTTGCCCTATAAAAAGTATGTGACTTTTAGAAACATGGTTTGCCCTTCAATTTTTTTGCCAAGTATTACTAGGTATTTGAAAGACGTAAGAGCTCAAACACTGATTTGGTGATAGTACATTTCTGTATTATTTGTGTTTAGAGTTTTAAATTACACAAGGAAATTGCAGCTTTAATGAACATATAAAAAGCAGCAATTCCTTGGATACTGTGCAAATTAAGATACATCTTGTACGATGCTAACTTTACAACGACATTCATATTTCACGGCATTGATTTTTCAATTTCCCAAATTTGAAGTACCCTTGAGTCCATCTAAGAGAAATATCAGAATATTGCTTTGCATTTAAACATCATACAGACATGGAGCTCATAATGTAATACAACAGACTAGTGGTGCTACACAGATTATATGTACAATTATAGAGCATGCAAGTCTCGCCAGTTCACATTCACGTTTCATGTGAACATCTTGGTACTAAACACTGACTAGTCTAGCCACAGACTCCTGTCTTTGAATTCAACCAATGCAGGGATGTGGAGGTCAACATTTTTTCAGTTTACTAAAGTAATCAACTTGCAATATTGTTTTAATGTGTTGTAAATTGGAATGATGATTTCTTGTTCAGAACCCATTCTTTGCCCTTGACTGGATAAACCTAGTAAAATCACCTAGGTTTTTGAGGTCAACTTGCACGCTCTATTGACAGAAGTGGAGTACAAATTGCTGACTTCAACTGTCAACTACATTTTTTTTCCAGATAGTAGCCGTGAAGACACCTTTAATACACCAGACTTAAATCCCATACTGTACATATAAAGCCTACAATGGTCTCGTATATCATATATCTGTGCTCTGCAGCAAAACATCTATTCAATTGGATTTCTCCTTGCTAAAGATAGAATTCAAGAAAGTTTGAACAAAAATTCTGCACTTTATTTGGTCTGCAAAAAGTATTTTCCACGTTGTGCTACATGTACATGTATGCACAAAGATTGGTGTAATGTATTTGGAATCAGATGCTCCTAATGCATAACTTGCAACTTTGTTGATCTGTTACTTAGGCTGTGTCTGAAACGGGCTTCTGGCGCTATGGCTACGGCTATTGTCAGATTGTTCCCATGTAATTGTTATGGGTGAAGACCTAGACAATATAGCTCTAGCCATATCAATTTTTTAATCTGTTCATTTGTGCATCAGGTCTTGACCCACCATTCCAGCAGCACCTCTGACGTACCAGTGACTGGTGCTGCCATAACGGACCCTTATCACTATCGGACACAACAGCATTTCACCTCAGAGATCTTCAAGATTGAGATCCAAATCCTCCCAAGACACTTTGGATTTGCGGTGAGTTTGCTCCCTAAATATTGAACCCTCAATAACAATAACCATACAGTTTGTGCCTTTTTAGGAGTATGTATGTATTGTGCTCCATGCTTGGGATTTGTCAAGGTCTGTTAATAACAGAATCAAAAGGCTGTAAAATGAATTTCACTAAAACATGAAATATCCAAGCCCTGTGTTTGTTTGACCACATTTAACGTACACTTTTTTGCAATGCACCTAAATGAACCTAAAATTAGTTGCATTGTTCATGTCTAAAAGTTTGTACATTTAAATATCTCATTGGCTGCATGGTATGTGCTAATGAACGTAACAGTCACATCAAACTTGATCAAAACACTTTTGTTAACATTATTTTCCCCTCAAACAGCAGTGACACTGAAGTTCCAGCTCATGACATCACTGTATTTCTCATGAACATACATCTTGGCACCATCATGAAAATATGTAAAAGCCTGAAACATCCAAAGACTTGGAATACAGAGGTGCATTTCCTAAAATAAAAACCTCCAAATCTGTTTCAAAAGCACTTAAAAAAAAAATCTTTATTTACAGTGAACTTTCAGGGTTATCCATATGTTAGTACCAATACATGTACATTTTCATACTGAAAAAAGTAACAAACTTGCTCATTTAAAGGAAAGGTAGATCATTTGTCATTTGTGCATTTTTTTTTTCATTTGAAGCTACAAAAGTGTTCAAAATCTAAAAACGGGTGCTTAACAACTAACATGATGAAGCTCTGTGAATGCAGTATATTCCAAACATATACTCTAAGATCTCAGGTTCAATTCAAAAGTTGCTGAGTCATGTTTTATATTGCGTCTGAATTCAGCCCCAGGGACACATTCTCATTCAGTCAATTACAGCTACGCGATGTCATGCACTGAACTGACATATAATACCAACCTAGTGTGCGTGTACGTCGTGTCGACGCTTGCGCACATATTCATGGATTCACCAAATTTACAAACCAACTACATGAACTAACATGATGCATCGTTGAAAATTGCTGTCTCTCATTGTTTCCTTCAAAATGACAGCATGCCAGAAAGAAAGATTTCACAGGGAGTTTAGTGCCATTAAAACCAAAAGCCTTTTAACAGTAATTTTGTCAGTTACTTTTTGGGTAGCTGCAAATGATCTACTCTACCTTTAAACACGAACAAATGTTTGATTCAAATAATTAAACTATTTGGGATTTGTTCATTTCTGAACCTTTTACATACATACATTGCATGAATACCAGCTGTTCCCTTTACTGATAGTTGGTTGCAATCTGCTCTGGGCAGGCCTGCACATTACTGATGTCATGGTGCGTACATGTATTGGCAATTCGCTGAAGTAAAACACATTTCAACTCCAGCATATTGTGTTGTTAATGTTTCTCGATGTCAAATCTACTTCATTGGCATTCCAATGAAGAAGATGTATGAAACGGCCTTAAATCTGCTCTACACTTTGAACACAGCAAGTTCAAAAGCAGCACTCACTCTACACACTGCTGCCCTTAAAGACAGCTT